TGTGTGTGTGTGTGTGTGTGTGTGTGTGTGTGTGTGTGTGTGTGTGAGTGTGTGTGTGTGTGCATACCAGTAAGGTTAGTACTAAGTATGAAGTGGTCATGGTTAAGATTAAACACATGAGATAATGTTTTGATTAGACTGACAACAAAGAATGGAAGTCAATGCAAAATCCAAATAAGGATGGCTGTCTTAGCCTTTTATGGCTTTTTTTATTAAATGTTATTAATCCCAAATTTTCAAACTCCTGTCTGCCTATAAAGTGTTAAGTAACACACGATTATGCAAACAACCTTTAAGGTATGACATGGTTATTTGTTTCCAGTTTACAGAACATCCATTTTAGTACAGCTAAAGCCTTGGAAACAGTGTAGTCACATTTGGAAAACATGCGGTTTGCGACCAATTTTCTAAAATAATTGGGCCATTAAGCCATTTTAGCTGCAGTGTTGTTAGTACTTTAGTGATAAATGACAAAGATTTCATGCATTCTTTCCCTGTGTTCATCTACAATGTGCTAGATCTCTTGGCAAAGGTAAACATACTTTGTTCTCATTTTGTGTGGTCAGCTGAGAACCAAAACATGCTCACAATTTGGTGTCTAGATTTAGATATGGTGAAAATGCAGGATCAATAACCATTAAATATGCATACCAGGAAGTACTGCAACCAACTTTAATCTTGCCTGTGCAATGAGCAGAGCAGTAGTGAATCATTAGAAAACTTGGAACTGTCTAATTTGACATTTGAGTTTTTGTGGATCTGTCATCACATTAATAAATCTCTGACAACATTCTCTAATGTTACCTGTAAATGTACTTTGTTATAACCCATAACTGCAAAAGAAACCAAATTTCATCTGACTCACAAGGTACCACAGGAAATTAAGTTGGAATATTTCTTTGTAAAATACATTTGAAAACATCCAAACTATTATACACAAAGACAAAATAACATTTTCTTAATCCTCTCATGATCACAGGGACAAAAACATTGTATTAAATTCTTAGCCTCATTTCTTTCTAAAGTACTTTTGAAATAACAAATAAAAATAATCAGAGCAATCCCAATAGGTTCCTCGCAGCGATTGCTGCTCGGGCCCTAACAAGGACTTTTCCTTGAGAATCCTCTCAGATGATGTAGATTAAAAGACTGATTTGGTGTCCAAATATTGAAAGTTTTTGTTGGAACTGTCTGAGCTCCTACAGAAAATGATTCAGCTGACCTTTATGTTTTCTCAGTTACAGGTAATTGCTCCCATCAACATGAACTTGTTCAGTTGGAGATGACCTTTCATAAGCTTTCATTGTTCTTGGGGTGATGTCATACAGTTCATTGTCCGGTGTCTATTGTCTAACTGTTCAGATGAATTAACTCATGGAATTAATACAGGGTATGGTAACATTATTAAATTCCAGTGGCTCAGGATAAATAGATAAAAATGTTACTCAGCCTTGATGCTAATTGAAACTGTAATGTTGTTTATAAATGCAGAATTACATTACACAAGAAAAATATGGGATGTGAATACCCCACTACAGATAATCAAAGACTCTCTGACCTGCATCCAAGTTTTGATTAGATATTCCATCAGGCTTGATGAAAACAGAACCGAGAAATGATGTAGGGATGTCTGTGTGCATAGAAACCAAATCACAGCACTTGGATCGCAGCTACTGATAGATGGTATAGTTTACATTTCAAACGGTTGTTCCAAGTGCGTCTGTCAGATTCCTCTCTATGTGACAGTTTGTTTTGATGTTTGCTACTATTTTAGAGAGGCTAATTATTAGACGTTTGGAGTGTGTGAGACGTAACGTACCCGCATGTGAGAACTGGAGTGCCCTCCCTCGCTCCCAGTAGCAGACACTCTCCACATCTGGATCTCATCCACTGTAAAGTGAAAGCCAATCATCACATACCTGAGCAAACGCTCCTGACTTTGAAAGGATTCAGCAATGCAGGTTCACTATAAAAATGAAAACTTGGAATGCTCATCTCTGTGATTTTTTAATAAACTGAACAAAATTATTTAATTGCATTATACATTTTAAAAAGTATTTGCATCCAATAACTAATTTCTTGTGCCTCAACACATAATGTAAGTTGGCCAAACAAATACATTTAAGTTTGAAGGTCAGAATGAGGTTTCCCAGCAGTTCTGCAGGTTTTTTTTGACAACTTACCTCCCACTTGAGGGAAGCCTGTCATCCTGAGAGTGTTTTGTTTAAATATATTGTAGAAGTTCTGTCTTTAGGAAGGACATATTAAAGGGGCAGCATGTAGAATTTCTAAGGCTCTCTATGGCTCTCTTTGCAAAATCGGGATATAATCTTCACATCAAGCTTATATAAATTGTGTAGTGCATGGAGCTAAAGTAAAAACTGTGATGTTATTGTTTCGATTGAATGAGCTTTATATATTTGTAAAAATATCTCCATTACTACGGGTATCCTGTTGCCATGTTGGATCGCAACATTGCTACAGATGCCAGGAGCGGACAAACCGGTTAGGGATGGTGTCTCGCATTTGTGTGCTGAAGAAGCGGCGTGAATTTAAGAACTGTGCTCGTAAGAAAACTTAGAAGAAGTCGCACTGGGAGGTTGTTATGAAAGGTCTGTAGTTTACAGAAATTATTTTGAATGGATGATAATACAGGAAAAAAGAGGAGGCGTACAAAGACGTCATCAGAGAAGTGAAAATGTGACGTGGTGAAATGAAACGGGACGTGATGACAGAAACAGAAGTCATGCAGGCACTTCTTAAATGAAATTGGGCTCTGGTCATGAACGTTGCTTCTTTTTAACCTGAACACATTCCCTCCTCACACTCTCTGGTTCAGTCCTCACCTTCAGCGGAGCCACACACTGGCCTCAAATAACTGCTGGCTGAGAACTTCAGTATAATGGATGATGAAAAGGTCCCTTTACCTCTGTATATCTCATCATTTTTCACATAAATCTTTTCCTTACTTGACATTCAAACCTATTTCACTGGCTTTGTATTGGATTTTTTTTGGAAATGGGTAAATGTTGACAGTGCAAAAAATTTAAAGCAGATTTCCCTTTTGCATTTTATGTTTGGCCGTGACACGCACTGTAAGTGAAGCCTCATCTCCAGGTAATAGAAACTAATTTATTTTTCATTCCTCTTGAAGTGTTTATTCAATACAAATAATATTTCAAACCCCTGGTTGAGACATCTTTTCAGTTTTTCAATAATGAAAGTGCAACGTCGAGGCCAAAAAGAGAGGGAACTTTCATATG